GTTTTCACAAGTAGTACACAGGCACGGGCGGATTTCGAATTTTCATTTTTAGTGTTCAATTTTTTACAATTAAAATTTTTAAAAATAATACTCCGTAAATGGTTACACTAAATTTACACATATACTCACATGTATTTTCAAAATTTTGGGCATTTTAATTTGTATATTTTTTTTTCCAGAAAGTGTACTTTTTCGGGAGAAAATACTTGAACTGCAAATATTTATTAGGTAAAGTATCAAATCTGCAAGTGACTAAAGTTAGGACACTAATAATGAAAAATGGTCTAAATTTATAAGACTAAATTGCAAATCTCCCTAAATATAATTTTTGCGTAATTCAATAAATTCAACCAATATAGCACTTCAATCATAATTTATCAGTTTCAACATATTCAACAGATTCAACCAATTTCTTGAACTAGATCTTGTGGAATTATAGGGAAACTTAGGCGATTTTTTCTCTTTTAATAATATCATGTTTAAACCAAGACGTTTCATTGGAATTTCTCTAAATTATATTCTAGTTCGTCTACTAATTTCTTTAATAAAGTTTTTCCTCTGCGTCAATCCGACTTTGATTTAGGCATGTTAGGTTTTTATGCTATTGGGAAAACCCTATTATTACCAAACCAGCTCTAATATTTCACTACTTTAAAATAATGGATTTTTTTTTGCAGATTATGGGGAATAAATTTATTATAATTATATACTACTCCGTTCCCGAAACAACTTCCCGGTTTGACCTACACACTGTTTATTAGGAAATAAACTTACCAGGGGATAAATTTTACTGTTTTGACACTGTTTTTGCATTATTTTGATGTAGATAACTTTCCATTTAAGGAAATGGGAAGTTAAATTAGAAACATCCAAATAAAGAAAATGAGAAGTTGTTTCAGGGACGGACGAGTATTTGTTATAGAATAATTGGTCTTGACATTCGGAAAATAGTGCTTGACATATGGTAATATTGCCTTGACATTTTGGCAATAGTTTTAGGTTATGTAGTAGGTGATAATACCGACAACTTATAATCCAAGAAAAAGAATGGATTTCCTTTTTAAAAGGTTTCTGGTTCAAACCATGCGGATGCAATAACAGACATTGAAAGAAGTTTTCAAGCAAACTTTAAATGTGTGGAAATTGTTGTAACCGCAAGAAGTTCAATTCCAAAAACAAACAAACATAAAAAAGAAAATACTTCGTGCAAAATTTAGTGCATTTTTTAAATTGATTGTACAAACAATATAAAAACTGCTAGGAACTTTCAAATTAAAATTTGTTGTCTTGAGGAGATTAACCAAGCGAGAATTCGATATATAGTCAATTAGAGAGAAAAGATATATCACTACAAAAAAACACACGCGTAGTCACGGATTTAGTCACGGACAACAGTGTAAATTTTCCGTGACTAAAAAGGTTAGTCACGGTCACCTGCCGTGACTAAATCCGTGACTTAATGGGCGTGACCAAATACAGTCACGGCTCATTAACCGTGACTAAAAAGGTTAGTCACGGTCACCTGCATCATATACCATTTCTTGTTCCCACCTCATTTCGGCACGGTCTCCCCACCCACTCATCTCTGGAGGGACGTAACGAGACGAACCTACCGTTTGTGGTATAACAGATGGATCCAAAGGTTCGCCGTGAGAAGTCCAATTATAATAATTGGGTACAAAACCGACCGCGTACAAATCATACCCAACTTCGTGTGGCTCTTTAAATTTGAGATTTTTACACTTTGAACATGGACATCTTATTTTATCACCACTCATATAAGCCGGATGTTCAAGTGCGAATTCAATAAATTCTCCGACTCCATCGAGAAAATTTGATTGCATTCCGTACAATAATGCATCTTTATCATACATCCAACTTCTATTTTGTTTATACATTATGCCTGAATATTATAATAAAAAATTATACAGGTTCAAAACTAAGGTAATTAATGTAACAATAATACTACGTTTAACTAATTTTAAGTAATTTATTTCACTAAATAATCAACTAACTAATTTTGACTAAATTAAATGAAATGCACACAATTCACAATAATAATGCACAAAATATAAGTAATTACCTAATACTTAAATTTAACTAATATTATAAAAAATTTAAGTAATTTAACACTACATCTAAATTAAACCTACGTTTAACTAAATTTAACTAATTCATTTCGTTATTTAATTAACAACCTTTTTTTAAACACATTTCAATTAACTAATATTTAAATTTAATTAATATTATCAAAATTTTAACGAATCTAACTTAATTAGTTAAAACCTACGTTTAACTAATTCATTTTACTTAATACATAACTACGTTTAACTAATTTTAATTAAATTATTTTGTAAACCTAAAAATTTAACTAATGTTATGACATCACCACGTTTCTAGTTAAATATGTTGCTAATTAATTAATAACCTCACTAATGTAATAGTTTTAATAATTTAAATTGAACCAACTAATTCTAAATAAAAGTAATAATTCAAATAACATACCTTATCTGCATAAACAGGGAAAATGACATAAGATAGACTACATCCTTCGATATTTGAAACAGATACTGTATTATATAGTACTGGGAATGAATTGGTGTGGTTCTGTTGAATGAGTTGGTCCTGCATATATAAAAAATTTAGTCACGGACTTAGTCACGGATTTGTCCGTCACTAAGCAAAAACGTGTACATTACGCGTCCAAACCGTGTAAATGACGTGCAAATGATAATTGCGAATTTTTTTTTTTAAGTTTAGTGACGGAAGTAGTCACGGACACGACCATGACTATGTTTATCCGTACAAAATGCCGTTGTAAAAATTAAATTTTTATTTAGTCACGGATTTGTCCGTGACTACATCGCCGGAATAAAATAAGGCACGCCGGAAACGCAATCGGGGCTATCGGAGGATTTTAGTCACGGATTGGACCGTGACTAAGTTTAGTCACGGATATATGTAGTCACGGTTTTGTCCGTGACTATTTTTTTTTTGAAAGTCCGTGACTAGTATGTGACTACGACCGTGACAAACTAGTCACGGACCAAATCCGTGACTACACGCGTTTTTTTTGTAGTGTATAAGCCACCAAGTGAAGATAACATGAGTGACATGACCCCTATTTTGGAGATGAAAATATTCCAATAATTTTCTATTTTGATTAAAATTTCCAGATTTTTATTATCCTGGTGACATCGATATATGAGCAGTAATACAATTTCTCTGTAATCTCAATTCAATGTAAAGTTTAAAAATATCAATAAATATGAAAAAATATTTAAATATTTAGTTTCAATATATATAGAAATAATTAAATAAATATGATCAAAATAAAGATGATTTACAAAAATATGATTAGTGACTAGAGTAGTAATGAAATCATAGTAATTCATGTTCAAGTTTTGAGTTTAATTTACCACAACACCACAATGTAGTTATGAATAGTCATGTTTATGTAAATATGTTTTATTTTAGTAATATTCTTGTAAAAAACCCATATATATATAATAGTATTGAAAAATAAATATGGGATATGATTAATCTCATTATATTTTAAAAAGAGGTAACAAATAATAAAAAATTTCTAAATTTCTCGAGCTCATTATTTATATATAGAATTCGGTTCGATTCAAATGAGAAAATGACCTTAGCAGAGAAATGAACGATTTTGGACTGTTAGATTGTATTATGTAAAATTGAAGGTGAATTAGGTGAAAAGGTGAATTAGGTATTTAGGTGAAACTAAAACGTGCATTACATGAAATTGGACTGTGCAACACAAAGAGCAGCAGAGTATCATTATGTAAAAGTGAACTGTGCAATAGGTGAAACTTAAATGTGCAGAATAAAATGTACAATGCAGTAACATTTTTGTACTTTTTATTCTGCACATTTCAATTTCATTCATTGTGAATTTGAGTTTTATCTTATATTTTTCACATTTTAATTTCAGTTGATACACATTTGAATTTCATCAAATGCACAATTAAGTTTCACATTATATAACTAAACAATCAAATTCATCCCATTTCTTTCTTGGGTGTCCTTTCTCACCGGAACCGCTATATCTATCCACAAATTACAGATATATATATATACTAGTTTTTATCACGCGCGTTGCGCGATTGGATAAATGCCCAATGTAATTTATGATGCAAAACATTTAAATAAATTATATACTATCGTATTTCTTATGATATAAGAAGTCTATCAATATACTTTTCTGAAAGGAAAAAAGAGGGAAAACAAAGAAAGAATTGTTAAACACTTAAAGGAACCAAATTGTTCGACCCATGGAGAGAACCTACTCAATCAAATCGAAACGTATGTCAATGCTCACTATGTATACGAAATACATAAAGATTAATTAACTTTTTTACTTTAAAAAACAATTAATTAATCTTTATGTATTAACTGTGTATTATCAATATGGTAAATAATTGGAATCTTTTTTAAATAATTTGGTATACTTTAATGATGAGACATTTATACTTGAGTGTGACAGAATCAAAATGAAAAACAATGTAATACACTGAACTACTGAAGTATAATTTCAAATACAATCCATGGAAGTAGAGAGCTTCAATCTCATGCTCAACCATGAATGCCAATTCTTCTTTGTAATTGTCCTTAACCAAATGAATTCACTAGTCAACAACATCTAGTGGCTAGGTTCATGGGACTAATGATTTTTCCGGTACCAGTTTCTCTATGTCATCCTTTTGCAATCCCAACCATTTTACATTGCAAGCTGTTAGATTGGGGTGAAAGCCAAATCAAATCCTATTCGATCAAACATATTGTTCTGACACCAAATCTAATGAAAAGGCAAAAAGGTCACCATATCGAAAGGCTTCCAGGCCCATCCCTATGCTTCCATATTTGAATGTACACAATATGGCCAGGCCAGCTGGGTTCCTAAAAATCATTTTGGAAGAAGATGCAAATGAAGTATGTGTGTTGCTCAAGTGGAAGCAGTAGAGCCATCATAGAAGTAATTTAAAATTGTGTCATTGCACCAGTCCACCAAACCCATTATTGGGATTCCAGAGAGTTCCCTACTCATCTCGTGAAGAAGAAGCTTGTGACATTGCAAAATAACCCATAAAGTATCAGCTGTTACATTGTATTTTAAAATAACCCATAAGAAGCTTGTACGTACATAAATTGTTAATAACTCTTGAGAGCGTCAGAGTTTTTAAAAAAACAAGGAGCCATATCTGGGGTAGGAGTCTTCAATTCTTCATTGCACATCTAAGTCCCTGAATCTCGATGACAACTGTCAGCTCAATCAAAAAAGGGATTCCCCGAGGGATCTTTGTAGCAAGATACAGCACCCCCTGGTTGGCATGCTTCCTCTTGGCAATGAAAAATAATATGTTGGATGTAGCTAAATGCTCAATGGTTGCATCAACACTATTTATAGCAACCCCCGGAAAGTCCCTGGAGATCTCATTTGAATCAGGTAATGATTTCCATGTCTGCACCATTAAAGTGCATTGCATAATGATGAATCTATGAAAAAATCTGCAATAATAATTTTTTATAAAAGTAAATCATAGAAGCATCAGAAAAAGTTGCAAAAAATGCAGGGTTGAACTGCATAACAGGATTTAAAAAGTCGGCTTTGCATTATATTTAGAATTTCTCTATCTAATAATAGATAGAGAAATATTATAGTCACCAATACAGCTAGCTTTTACATCAGTAACTTTGCTAGATAACTTGAACGCTCCATTTTCCCATCCTCAATAAAGAAGACGCGAAATGAGATCTTATCATGTGACTCTTGCAAAAGCGGGGTAGGGGGCCTGGAGAAAGATTCAAGAATAACACCATTGGCAGCAGAGTGCTTGGAGATGTCCCTAGTTGTAATTGCGGCACCTATTGGACACACACTTGTTCACTTCAAGAACAAGATAGGAGGGCAAATGAATGAAAGCATAACTCAAAAGAGAAAACAAAAACTTCCCAGTTAAAAAAAGGAAGGGGAGTTAACACCTGAAGCTGTCCAGCAGCAGCAAGACCAAAAGTGTTCTTATTGAACTGAATCATGAAGCCATCAAGTGCAATATGGGAGTGGTTCTCAAAGAACATGCTGAAAAATACTTGGTCATCTCTTCGTATCACTTGTGCGCTGATTTGTAATCCTTGAACAGTAGATGCTGGTAATACAACAGGCAAAGAAATTCTGGAATCAAAATCAGTACTCCATGAGAAATGTCATCTAAGTTTTATGTGGAAAGTGAGAACCTTTATAATGGACCGAGTGTGATTCTTTAACCCAAATTATATACTTTTTCAATAAAAAAAACTTCCAGCATGATAAAATTAGCACATTTCTGCTTAAGCATGGCACCACGGGACCAAAACCAATTTAAGAAACAAAGAAAACTGAAGCAATGAGTTTGTCAAAATAACCCTCGGGAAATTAACTATCCTACCCCTAGCCTCATACACGGCAGTAGCAATTGGGTTGGATTCTTCAAACACACTACAAGGTGATTTTCTCAATACAAAGATGCATCCCAAAGATGCCATAATGGGACTGAATATTTAATAATCATTTGGACACACTTTTAGGAACTGGTACACTGAATGTCAAATATTACTTGTAATTTATCTATTTAATAATCATGCTATTTTGCATACTCTTATCAAGGTAGTGTTTGCAAACACAACTCAAAATCACTTTTCAACTTTTTTCTTAAAATAAACTAAAAAGAGTGTTTCCTTAAAAAAACTAAAAACAGTGTTTGCCAAACCCAACTTCAGCTTAATTTGAAGCAGTTTTAAGCCAAAAGTCCAAAGCAGGTTTAGGGTGCTTTTAATAGCTTCTACTTTTTTGGTAAATATTTTCAACTTTATGGATAATCTTAACCCACCATATTTATCCTTATCCCAAATCTACCCTCTACCTTTGGTCGCCGATATCAACACGTCTTTCCCCCCATTCATTTTTGGAAGTGTTTAAGACAACAGATTGAGCTAAGGTTGCTAAGCAACACATCCGGGCACCCGCCACCATCCACACGCTGGTGGCACACCATCCGCCGCCAAGGCCCTCCATCTTGAAGTTGTACGCTGCAGTTTGGCTACCGGTGGCTCACCTATCTACCGAGTACTGATCTACATATATTTATGTACATGTGTGTGTGTCAAGAAGACATACATATCATTGACCCCTTTCTCATGAACTGCCAATTAAATTTGATCATTAAAATAGAGAAAATACCCTAGACTCATAGCACAATCCATAACAAAGTAAGGAAAATTGCAGCATTCTAGACGGATGCAATCGCAGGAAGAATCTCCCAAAGGCAGGGCTCCAGTTCATCGAAAATGGGGGAAAGGAGGCAGCACTGGTATAGAGTCCAGTCCGTTTATCTATCGCATTATTCATTTTATTTTTTGAGTCAAGTATTTAATTTAGGGGTACTTTTGTATTTTTAACAATATATTACATCAAAAATCACTTTTTTATCAAACACTTCAACTTTTACATTTTTATTAAAATCACTTATATTTTCAAACACTATCAACTTTTACTACAAAAAAACTTTTTCAATAATCTCTAAAATAAATTACTTTTGAAAAGCACAAGCAAACACTCCTTAAAGGGCATGAAGTGCATTGGCTAAATATATTCGACATTTTTTATTAGCTATACTCTAAAAAGCATATAAAAAATAGTCTTATTATTTCAACCAAAACGGAAAATGTTGACTAAGGGTTAAGGGATATATATTATATAAACAGATACAATTTCTTCTTTAAGGTTGATTTACTCTAATAACCTTAAGATATCTCATTTTGTAAAGTCAATAGAAACATGACATAAGATCAATTATATGTATAGTGGTGGGCCTAAACATTAGTATAGAATCTATTAAGGATAAAGTGTATACTACTCAAAACACCTGCATTGTTATTAAAGCTAGCATTTCACTGTAAAAACAATGGAAATTTGAAAAAAACCAAACGTACAGGCCATTAGCCACACTAATATCAAAATATGGCTAGCTCTTTTTAAAGAATGAAATGCTTGATACTACACATTTCTAACTTTTATAGTTAATATGGAATGAATTTTGAAAATATGGTCTTGGAAAATCATTTGTTCACGGCCTGGTAACTTGGAAGAAAAAACTTGCACTTGAAGCTTTTTATGCTATCTGATGAAGGTGTGATCAACTAAACATAGTAGCCCCCTAACCCATTAAAAATATATAAAACAGATCTCTAACTATAAACTTAAATTTGTACCAAGTTCCATTAAAAGGCATTAACCTCAATAAAAACAAAGCAAGGGAAGACTCATGCATGAACAACCGTTGCTCTTTGATTGGTGAGAAAAAACTTGATTTCGTCATTCTCCAAGCCGTCTAAAACATAATGGCAATTTTGGAGTACGTACACAGTAATATGGTTTTGAATACCATATTGTCAATAGAAAAGGCACCATCTAAAACATAACATTTCCACATGTAATTATGTTTAATCATGACAATTCAGCATACTCTAAATTTAAACACTAACACATCAACAACTATTTAGAGTAGAAAACTTCGCACTTTACAAGTTACAACTCAAACACAAAACGCAAGCTACTTACAAAAAACTAAACACCCATAATACAGTAGTACACTTTCAGAATAAAGTATTTATGTTCAAAATTATAAGGAGTACATAGCTTTACAACCCTGAAAATGTAAAAGAAAGAAATGATATAAAAATAGGAGCTAGTAAACAAACAACTTACATTATGCGGACTAATTATAGTTCCAGTCCAGGAACACATGCACAGATCATCACCATCATCAATTCCGTACGCCTTTCTCCCCACGTTCAAGCTCCTCAAGCAGCCTAAAATTCCCAGGGACTGCAAATACATAGCAGATAATGATGTATCTTAGAGCAGGTTTAAGAGTCATTTTATTCTTCAAAAAATGTCGTTCTTCTTGGCTTAGAGAAACAATCAGTAACATAAAAACGTAAACAAACGGATCTCTCTCAAGCTTAGATAAATCACAAACGCAACTCCCATGATATCTTCCACACAAGGGGGGAAACTATGACGAAAACGGTTTTCAGAATTTCATGACACTATTCTTTCTTTGGTTCAACTGCATTTTTATATAAATTGTGTTTTCTTGTCGTTGGAAATTATTAGAATTATCAATTTATTCCAAGTCACAAAAAACAGTGAGTACCTTAGAGTGACAAAAACGATATGCTATTTTAGAATTTGAGGACAGCGAGATAGCCGGCAAAGCAAATGCAGTACTTGTATTCAAAGGTGGTGAGATAGCAACAAATAAGAGTAATTTAGTACAAGCATGATGTCTGGACTCTGGATCCACCCACATGGGAGAGATGGGGAGTTCCGCTATCAAATGTGAAGCTTAATAAACGAAATGAATTACTAAAATGAAATTTATTAACTCAAACTTAGGGTATACAACCTTTTTAGCCTATTCACTTAATTCAACTTTGAACATCTTAAGAGAGTAGCAGGACCTCCGTTAAAGTCAAATCCAAAAAATCAAAAGCAACTAAGAAAGTATTCCTGAAATGTCTAGTAGCAGGAAAGGTCACAAAAAAGTAGTGAAAACAGAATTAAAGAAGGTAATGCATAACATAATACTCCGTAGTAAAAAGAATTTCAATTGGCATTTCATCAAACATGTGAAATTCACTCACAAATTCAGGACACCACCAACAAGAATTTAGTTGTATGTGAATTTTCAAAATAATAAAAAATGAGGCATATGTTTTCACTAAATTTTCACCCAAGCAGGCAAGCAAGAGCGCATACACGATGATTCGGTGTGAGAATTGGGAATCCAGCAATGCATCTTGGTTCAGTCCCCAAATCAAACGTGAAAGAGGAAAGGCCTAAAATGAGAAAAAGTGAAGGTACCACAATCTCAGGAAGACACGAAGCCAAGGCATTGATTGATTCTGCGATCATTCTTATCTCTTATTTCTTCGTTCATCTCCCTGAAGCCGAAGTTCTTCTCAAACTGCCCAGAAGAGTAGCTTATCTCATCTACAGTAATGAAGGAATTCGTAGTTCGTATTGCTCTTGGGAAGGAGTAACGCCGTAACGGGAAGAAATGACGATAACAGATGGGCATTCATTAGTCGTACAAATATGAAAGAGCAATGTACAAACACTCATAGCAATGAGTTACACCAACACTTTTTCTATTCCCAAAAGGATATAACCCTCATTCATGCTTATAGTTTTTTAAGATATATATATATATATTGATCTATTAATAAATGATTTTATTTTATTCTTGATTAGGACTACAGATTTGGACCGGAATTTCAAAAAATATTTATATCGTACGTTGCGGTATGTATTTGGACAAGCTTAGAAAGTAATGTACGGGAGACACAATATACTACGACGTATATCATTCAACTACTTTTTTAGGAAAAATCATTGAACTACTTTAAATATAAAGAAAAACTTTACTTTACGATGAACAAAATATAATACGAGTACTAGATAAGATAAATCATTTGTGGGACCACAAGAATATAAACATATTTGATATTTCTCTTTCTCTTAGAACTTAATGGCATGATACGGAGTATTAGAATAGAAATGCAACAATTCTTTATTACTAAAACGCATAAATTCTGATGAAGGCAAAGAGAAAATATTTTTTGGCCAAAATAACGTTAGACATACTGATATACAACACCATTAGTTGAGCGAAAAACTGATGTTGTAGCGCGAAAGTTAATAATGTCACATTATTATGTATCCTTAAATATAATGTAATCTTGGTGATCAATTCAAAATAAGATTGATTAATTTCCACATTAATGTTTGATGTAAGGATTATACGCTGATTTATACGCTCGTAAACAAATGCTTTTCGTTTGTATAAAAAAATTGTGAAAAAGTTTGAAAATAATGTAATGTTTGGTAAAAATTTGTATAAAAGTTTAATTCTTGAAAAGAATCGTACACAAACGTTTTTCGTTTGTATAAAAAAAATTGTTTGTGACCCGAAAGTATTTATTGTGTGTGACTTCCACTTCATTTTACTTGACTCGATGATAGTCAAGATGACCGACCGCTTGCTTCTAATTTTCATGATAATAACATGCACGCCAACATCCCATTTGTGTCAAAGCCGTAAAAAAGTAAAATAAAGTTAAACATTATACTCCTTTCCTTTCAATTTGTTTGTCACACTTTGATTTGTCAAATACGATAGTATTAAGGAAAAAGATTTACTGAGCGATAAATTTTACTGTAAAATATAACACTATTTTACAGTATTTTGATATAGATTTGTTTACCAAATAAGGAAATAAAGAAACGTGACATTCATTTTGAAACATCAAAAAAAGGAAAGTGTCTCAAACAAATTGAAACGGAGGGAGTATTACATTATTTACATATCCCTCCCTCCAATATATAGTTTTCGAATTTCCTTTTTTCTCGTTCCATTTTCTTTTTTATCAGAAATATTGATTCACGCGTGGTTTATAATATTTTTTTTACACAGACTGTAATTATTCAAAATTTACATCTTAGAAACTGTGAGTCAAACTTACCAAAATAATTCATATCCAAATGGTATATATGTGTGGGAAAATGATCTTATAAGTTCCACTTGATAGTTTCAATCAACAAAGAATCGCATGAATAGTTGGTTGTGCCCCTAGATTGTTGACTAAAATAGAGTGATGAAAAATAGTTGATATTAGAGATCAAATAACTATTATAATAATAATATCTATATGACTATATGTTAACTCTCATTTAGATGAATTGTTGAGTGTCATTTATTCGAACAATATAGAGCCCGTTTGGTAGCATGAAAATCGGCTGTTTTGGCCGATTCTGCTGAAATTTATGAAGTTCTGGCTGAAGTGGTTGTATTAGCTGATTTTGCTGATTTAAGAAATAATTATTTTTAAAATATATTTTATTAATCAAATAAAGAAAAAATTATATGTAAAAATAGCTAAAATTGGTCATCTTCAGTAACTTCAGCCAATACAGCCATAAAAGTAACTTCTACCTTACTTTTTCTGCTTATTACACAATTCAGCGCACAAAAACAAAAATCAGGGTCGTGTATAGATGGAGGCACCTAGGCATATGCCTAGGGCACCATCATTTGGTGGGGCACCATTAAGAAACCTTTTTGTATTATTATCTATAATATTAAAATCTCATAGATAATACCTACGAAGTAAATATGATTGCTAATTGAGGTCTTATCGAACAAAAGAAAAAAGGAAAAGTTAAATTAATTAAATATGTGTATCACGCATTCTCACCACCATCAGTTGGCCTAGGTAGAATAATGCACCTCACTTAATAATCTTTTATACTAGTATTATCCAATCTTAGACGTATGGTACTAAATAGAAAAGTGATGATTTTCACAACATGGATTAGTAATCATCAACTCTTTCATCTTAATTCTTAGGATGTTTTTATCTGAACTGTAATTTGTTGGTCTGGTCTGTTTTGATAAGTTTAAGTCTGATCTGGTCTAGTTTGTTTAAGTCCGGTCTGGTCTGAATTGGTCTGTTCCAGTCTGGTAAACGTCTGGTCTTTGTGTGTTTAATAACTACGGAAGTCAAGTCTGTTTAAGTCTGATCTGTTTAAATATGATCTGGTCTGTTTAAATCTGGTCTGGTCTGCAACTGGTTACAATACAAGTAAAACATCCTTAGTTGATCGATTTGATCGATTGATATTATCAAGATTAAAGATTATTGTGTTTTGTTCAATCTACCCAATGCTTTTTTCACGAGTGCTCTTTTCACTTTCTAAATGGAAGACCTTCAACTTAAATAAATGCATGAATTGACACAAATGCATTTTCATGGTAAGTACATTTTTAGCAAAATTACCATGTTGCATTAAATTTAACTTGAATGAAGATTTGAAATAATAAATTTCAACTTACGTTCAGAAAATATAAAATCAAAATTTTAATATAAAAATTAACAATTCTCACTAATATGAAATGTAATTCAGTTTTTTGCCTAGGGCCCAAGATCAGAGTTCCTAGAGACGGCGCTCGCAAAAACTACTCGTTTGGTGAAAACGTTGGCTGATAAGTCTAATAAGGCGAAAAATAGATTTGACAAACGACCAATGTGGGAAAAAGTTTAGATTGCAAGAGAGTGGGATGCAGTTGTGAAAATACCTCAAACCACTTTTTATATTTCGTTTGTGAAAATATCACAATCCACTTTTAATAACCCGTTTCAAGGATCTTACTTGTTGTCTTTGAACTTCTATAACAACATTCTCATATATTTTCGTTTGAAAAGAATCAACTCTTAAATGAAAATTTTATTTTTCCATTTTTCAAAAGTATTAACTCTTCTAAATGACAACTTTCACTAGTGGAAAAACGCCAAACAGAGGCGCTTCGTTAGAGGTGCTTTTAAGTTAAAGCGCCTCTATTAGTCGAAATTTTATTTTTTAATATTTTTTATAGAATCGTGCGGCGCTTCTTATGATAAAACGCCTCTAAAATATTCCGAAATTATATTTATATTTAAAAAACTAATGAGCCGTGCGACGCTTCTTACTCAAAAGCGCCTTCAATTCGTTTACGTTTTTTTTTAAATATTTGAACCTCGCGTGCGGCGCTTCTAGCTCAAAGCGCCTCGAATAAAAATAGATGGGCCGGACGGAAATTAAATACGCGTGCGGCGCTTGTAGACAAAAAGCGCCTCCAAATTAATCCACATAACCGCCCATCGCCCACAACTCTACCCTGCCCATCGATCGCCCACAACTCTATTGCGCGATCGAGATCTGAACCAGCCGCGGCCGTCGCCCACAACCGACGATTGAGAATCGACTGAACCGCCGTCGAGTGCTGTCCGCGCTGCTGCTGTCCGCGCCGCTGCTGTAGATTCCCTTCCCGACCGCTCTCGGTGCTCTCTGTTGCCGCCGCCGTCTGCTCCCGCTAGTTGTGAACTTCTCCAGCTCGCCTTCAAGTAATTCTGCTGCTCGCCTCTACAGTCTACATAGGTATTTGTTTTTCATTCACTTTTTCACATCTTTTGGTTGATTTGATTTTTTAATGATTTTAGTTTATTTTTCTAAAGTATATTTACAAAATACGTAGTACGTAGTATATGTTTTGTAGAGCCAGGAATAGGATAGAGACATAGAGCTAGAGAACAAACGTTATCCTTAAACAATACGGAGTACACAATATTAAATTTTAATTTCAGGAAAGTAGCATTAAACCAAAATGATGAGTTAGTATTTGAAGATTGTCATTGCAAGTTGAAGAGATACTACTATCCTCAATAGCAATAAGCTATGTGATAATTGCTATGCTAATTAACTATTAGTACACTTGAAAAGTGAATATGAGCTGGACATAAAACAAAATTTTCAAATGTGATAACTATATTAGTTGAACCCTCTGCACAAAATAGAGATGTTCAAATGTGATAACTAAGTTAGTTGAACTCTTTGCCTATTTGACATGGCTCAACCAAAAATTTCAAGATACAGGAATATTAATTTCACATTATCCATAAATTGAAACTCAACCAAATACTATAGATCATTTGATCCAAGAAAGTGTGGACTCTGGAATTTAAAAAGGAACCTAATTAAAATAAACTCATCATTTTGACTAATAAAATTGGCCCCTAGAGTAGTCATTTCAGATTGCCTATGTACTTAAGTCCATCCAAACAAAATCTATTTGAAATAAATTTAAGAATTACTCTTTTTGACTAAAAAACAAAACTGCCATGTATCCAAGCTATGAAGTCCAAGAAATTCTTCTTAAGATTTTTGTTGTGCTTAAACTAATATGTACTGAAAGTGTAATAAAATGAATTCATATTCCTAATGATCTTGACAGCTTAAACTGAAAGTGTACTCGATTAGCTTAAAGTACTTCTATCATATATACTTTCAAATTGAATCATTAACAAAAAAACTAAAAATTATTATGATCCTGACAGCTAGGGGACAATTTGACTTTCTGTACTGCGGCAAGTAGGGACGAATTGTTATTAGTACATCAAAAATTAAAATAACAAAAAAACTACGA